ATAGGGAAGTGCCCTTTTGCAAGCCCTCTATCCCAGCAGTGGTCAGAGAACCACCAGAACTAAGCCTTGGCTGTCGGGCTGCTCCATCTATTGGTGGGGACTCTGGGAGCGACACCTGCTGGAAACCGGGTCCAGCGTCCCGTTGATACAACAATGCGGGTCAATGTTGGGCCTTTAGCTGTTGTTCTTTCTAGTCTGGAGCACCAAGCGATGGCATGGAGCTGCTAATAGTCCCTTTCCCATTGCAGGGCTCCCACTTAAACCACCAGTACTTGGCCCAGCTATTGATGCCAAGCCGGGATACCCCTTGCGCGCCAAGTTTTGCCGAGCCGCCGGGGAACCGTTTCGTTTTGATTTTGACTGGCGCTTCCAGCCATTGCGGTTCGGTGGCCCGAAGCACGTAACTACCGGTGTCAACGGGAATCGCCCGCGGCCGATAGCTGGGCCAAGTACTGGTGGTTTAAACCACCAGTACTTGGCCCAGCCATCGGCCACAGAAAAGAATAGAGTAGAAACGTTTCTAGTCGGATGAATTTGGGCGCTCGTATAGTGGCCCGTATGTTCTCTAAAATTGTGGCTTGTTAACGGGTACAAGTTTAGGAAGTACTGGTGGTTTAACATCTGACCCAGCCCCCACCTAGAAGATGTCTGCTGAGTTTCCCCAGGCTACTCCCAGGTGTCTGCAGCCCCCCTGTGATTCTGACAGCGTCCTCCCTACAGGAACTGTCTGCATGTGATAATCTCAAGCCTTTCTTCAACCCCTGAATCAGCTTGAGGTGCTGGTAGGAACAGACACCTGAAGCTGACTGGGGCCGCTCCATCTAATGGTGGGGAGCAACACCTGCTGGGAAACAGGCCCAGCATCCCTTTTTAGTCATTGCAGAATCTGTACACTGAGTTCAAACACGATGTGGTAGGTCAGTGCCTCATCAGCCCGAAGGCGGGTCACTTGTATCATGCATGACTGGATTGGCCACTTCCCCTTCTACTCAACAGTGTGCCAAGTGGTGGTTGGGTCAGGCACAACCGTGCACCTGACGTTAAGTCCCTTTATCCCAGAGCCCGTAGCAGCTAATGTTTGCCCCAGCACCTCTGTGACGATCTATCTTCTGATAGGTGCGACTTTCATGCGATTGAACCTTGGGGTGGTCGGATGGGCCTAAGGGTCAATTGCATGAATGCCCCCATTCCTTTTCTTCCTTGTTTTGCGAGAGTTTGGTCCCAGCGCTGTTGGTGGTCAGGACGTGCCTTAGCGAGCGCAGCAATAACGGCTGACGCAACTTTTTCTTCTTTTTTTTTTGGGAAATGTGGGCAAGGAGCTTTGGCGCGATCATCGCGCAAGGGAATCATTTTGAATTTTTTAACTCTTTGGAAAGAATGCGGGAGACCTCATGATGCCTGCATGATGCTCCTTACTCGCGCGCACTTTGCTACACTCTGTCCTGCACTTCCCGCCGTGCCTTAATTCTAATCTCAACTGTAATTTCCTCTTGTTCCTTTCTTGGCGAATGCGGGTGTAACTGTAATCTTCTCCCTTTGGGCTTCTCTTCCCGCCGAAACATGCCGCCCCTCCCCCGTTGTCTCATTGGCCACAACGGTACATGACTGGATCGATGCGCAGAGAGTGGCTACGTGAACTACGTGCCCCGCGCCGCGGCCCAGGCATGTTGGCTATAGGCACGTCCTTCCTTTCTCTCTTCCCCTGCCTTAGTATAATCCCAGCTATCTCGTGCAAATGCTAATTGCTATAAGTTTCGCAAGCGCGACTAAATCGCTCTTGAATGTAAGCTTGGGGGAGTTAGCATGGTCGGGAGGATTGGCTAACGAGTATGAGCATGCAAAGAAGTGAGTTCGGAGTTGGACGATCCGACGACCTGGTGGCGAGTGCGCGGGGTTGGCGTGTGGTCACGACGGACTATGGAGCACGGGCGAACTCGGTGTGCGTACTCGGGCTAAGCGGGATGACAACTTGGGTTGTTGGTAGGTGCGAGGTGACGGACTGCCTGCAACAGGGTAAGGAGGAGGGTGGTGAAGCAGTGAGAGCACGTGGGGCGCTGAGGTGTGGGGGGGCTTCTCTCCTTGTCTTCTATAAATTTTGGTTTCGGCTTTCACCATTTTCGCCTTTGTAACTTCAGACTTTTGTATGATTGTGTGGATCCCTCCTTTCTTCGAAATTTCTCTCATATTTCTTTCCTTTTATGGATGATGTCATGTGTGATGATTGCAGCTTGATCGTCTTCAATTTTGTACGTATAATTGATTGAATGATTGGGAAACGTGGATGGATGCATAATATTGGATGGATGCATAATCTTAGTCCGCTGGAATTAAAGGGAAATAGCGAAGTTGGTCGCCTCGAGTTGCTTTGTGAATGGGTTTTGTGCCACGTGTACAGTCAGCCAATGAATCGGTCTGTCACGTATACGCGTGCTTGAATAAATCGCCCGCGTCTGGGCTACACTACTG